AGAAGGCAACAACTATTCTTATGGATAAGATAGTCTTACTACATGATAGGGTTCGACAACTTGAACAACAGAATAAGACAGTAGGGCGACGCCGGAGGGGAAAAAGGACTAGGGTACAGAAAGAAGGGGCTTTAACTATAGGGGAAGCATCACAAGCAATTGATCAGACGGATGTTGATACGCAGGTTATAGCTGAATCGTCAAGAAGTGGTTGTCGCGAGAGGTCACAAGGACCAAAGGTTCGGCAGTGTAGTATTTGCGGAAAGACCGGGCATAATGCAAGGACCTGTCAAGAGATAATTGAGGTCAATAGGGAATAGTATAGCAATTAATTTTAATTGATCAGATAGATTGTGGTGTTTTTATTACTCTTTTTAAGTCTTAAGGTGTAGATTGGTGGAGCACTCGCTTGTCTGGAGCACTCGCTTATCATGCACGTTAAAGGAAAGCTATTGTTAAAAAAATGTTTTCATTTTTATAATAAACTAAAACCTATTACGATAAAACTCTATATAATGTCTCTCTACATATCTAGTTACTCCCTAATATTTTAAAATCTCTCTGTAATAACCTTTACCTCTAAAAGAATATGGGCACTACTAGTTGTATATTTATATATTACAAAAACAAGTTTATGTTAGCCAAACTTCTTTCCAAGGCGGCTATGTTGAAGAACATGGCGTTTATATTTTCAAGTTCTTATCCTCCCCCGATAGCATTGCGGCGTTGAAGAGAGGACTTAAGCATATTAGCTACATATCTCAGAACAACTATGAAACTGCGAAATCGCACATCAACAATATGGACAAAAGCGAATTGAGAGACGAATGGAGATCATTTTGCACAGATTACGCTTCCAAAGAGCCAGAATCCCGGCATGTGATTCATAAATACGTAGATGCCTGCTCTGGACCAGCTGTCCTCAAGCTCATCTCAGCTGCCACGGCTGAGAAAAAGGTTAAATTGGTCCACCCGGCCTCTATCGCCGATCCCGAGGCTCTGAACAAGATTACCGTCGTCCATCCAAAACTTCTCTCCAAAATCGATGAGGAAGACTTCGATATTGAGTCCTTCGATAACGATGAGATGGGTGATGAGAAGTTCGATATTGATAGCTTTGTTATGGATGATGACTTCCATATCGGTGATTTTGATATCGATTGGCATGACTTCGCTTATATGATAGACCTTGATAAAAGCACATTTGAGATTTATGACCCGCAGAGTACTGATCCCGTGTGCGAGTACACTTTTGCAGAATTAGAAAGACTTACTGAAGCAGAGTTCATTGGTCGCTATTACAAAGATATAGAGGATGAGGAGGATCCAGACAATACGCCACAATATAGATTTTTGCTCGCGGGCTCTTTTGGTCGTCATTCGAATAAAACGGTAACTTCAGAACTAGCTGGGAAATTTCAATTCTGTTCTACAGTTGGTGATCATCCAACTCACTTAGTCTGTACACAACGGGAGTACGACAGAGAGAAGCCCATGAAGAAGGTTCTGGATGCATGGAATAACGGCATACCGATATGTGACGCTAAGATTCTATCGAGTCAAGCGATGAAAGCTGATGTGGAAAACTACATACTATGGCCAAAACATGACAGTAGCTAGGAGTGTACTTACTGGCTATATGAAGGAATAGATATTTAGTAACAGCGAACTATAATTATACGCTTTGTGCTACCAGTCTATCCTAAAGTATTACATAGCATAGGTTAAGCTTAAATCAACATATATATGTTAGTGATGGCTGTAGAACTAAGGAATGAAGCCATCTATTTTATTGAGGAACCTGCCTAGCTACTGGTAACCTCGATACTAACTCATTTAGCAGCTATCATCTTTTTACTGCCTCAATCTTTCAGTTGGACATGCAGAGGCTAACTTGACTTTGTATAAAAAGTCCTTGAGTATGGATTATCTGCAGCGGATGCTTCCTAGAAGTGCTTCAAATTTGCCTCATTAATATACAGGGAATGGTTACGCCGATGCTTGAATGTTCAAAGACTACGATCCACTTACAAGATGTTCGCCAGCCCAGATTTTCCCGATAGTACTTGTATTTGTCCCTTTGAACGCTTCTTGCGTCAGGGCTTGATCAGAATTAACCCTCAATGGCACATCGTGTAGCAGAGTGTGGACAGCAGTAACTACCCCTATAACTGTCCAAGCTACGGTTTGAGTTTACCTTATAAGATAATTACCTCTCGCTCCGGCATGCTTCGTCACTAATCAGTGGCTCTCAAATCGATTTCGGAGATTTTGAGAGACAGGTTGGGAACGATACGTTCTTCGAGGGACAGGAGACTGTGAATGGATTTAGATTTTGTCAGTTTAAAGCCTGTGTGGCATAAGGCTATTTGTTGCCCGTCTAGCATGCAATATAGCACGCTTTACACTATAGACACTCAAACTCTACTTTATTCATACATTGTCATCGTATATGTATGGAAAACACACCGCGTGACATTTATAATTGCTTAAACTATGCAGTCTTGGTTATGCAGCTCTCGCCCCCTATCTGGTTGAGCTATCTTTATGTGACTTATATAGAGCTATCAGAATACATTAGGGTGCAGCGGCCGACTTCCCAGAGCCGAAGAGGATGTTCTCACCCTTATGGTCTAGTTGCTTGGTAGATTCGAGTCCACCGGGGCACTCTGGTAGGTTCCTGACTGCAAATCAACCGCTTGTCGACCTAAAAGACTATCTCAAATGTCGCTGGCAACCCCAGGTACAGCCACCTTACTCAGCTCCTTGTCTCGCTGCCAAGTTTCCATTTCCACTTTAGTCGACGACCGCAGTATGTTTGGCGCGATATACCTTGAGAACTTGGACATATTGGCGTTCTGGGAGACTGTGCCTACAAAACAAAGACGTGATTGTCAATCATCAAGACAAACATCAAGGTCAGGGCAAACAGGCCAGCTAGGCAGGATAGGCAGCAATCTGGGTGAAATATTGGCAGCTTCGATGCACCACTACAATAGCAGACAAGCCGTGTTTGGTTGAACGTCTCAGGAATTATGGGTCCACCATCTCACTGTGATGCGGCCGCTTCTGCCTGCGTCACGATACCATGCCTCTCTCTCGTGTCCTAGGTCTGGCCAGCTAGCCCGCACGAATGCGCTGATCTTTCGAGCTACCATTGTCTTAGTTGCGAAGAAGTCCTTGCGATACTGCTAATGAACAGTCGCCTTATGATTACGTGACGCTTAACAGCTCATCAGAAAATTAGGAGAATTCCCTATCTATCACGCATCAGGGACTGTCTTTTTCATTGATGGGAGATCCCTCCCGCCCTCTTGATGTTTTCGTCGCTCTAATGATTTAAGCAATTTACCTCCCACCCCTCCAGAGAAACGTGATCTT